ACCTCTAAAAAAGTACTACAGAGATTCCAAATTACAAGATTCCAGTTGCAGATTGTAGTTACTTTCAATTTAACGATTTAAAATTTATCTAGTATATTGAGTACAAATGCCCAGTATTTGAATTACTTTTTTTGTAAATCCAAGTACCAAATACAAATACTTTATTAAAAGTATTTGCAGATTCAAGTACAAATATCCAAAAACAAATTTATTTGAAATATAGTACTTCAAATACTAAAAAGTAATTGAAATACATTTTCCAAGTAATTTACTTGAAGTACTGACAGCTCTGGCTCAGTTTCATTCAGTACTCACAAAAAAGTGTGCTGAACACTGAACACGCCTAAATAAGATTTCACTTGAAAAATATTTATTAAGGTTCCAATATAATGAAAACTTTCAAAAATCAAAAATTTTCATTAAACATTCAATTTCGTCGACTTGTCTAATGTAATCTTCTAATGTAATTGAAAACGTTTGAGTTTTTTCAAGGAATCTTTATTTTAAAACTTAACTTGCTCAAGTCTTTGAAAAAGGGCTATAACCATAAAGGAACTTTCTATGAATCAAGACCAAGATATAGCAAGAGTCTTGCAAGAACAAGAAATAGGCTAGCAAGAAATTTGCAAGAGCAAAAAATTGAAAATTTCTTGTCTTGCTTAGCAAAACAAGACAAGAAATAACCGAGCAAGATAAGATTTCTTGCGACCTGCAACACTACTTTTAAAAACAAGGACGAGAGTGAGTAAAGAAGGATCAACAAAGAGATTCGAAATGAAATCCCCGTAGAGCCAAGGAACGAGAAAGGTGCACAGAACTGGAGAAGCATGACCACTTTAACATACATAAAATGGTGTAAGAAGTTACAGGCCGAATAAAGCCTTACAATTTGAGTTACATAGTGAAGGACAAAAGTATCATCTCTGATCCTAAGGAACTCATTTGCCACTTCCGCAACAACTTCATGCGGAGGATACCAAAAAAGGTGAAGCCCTCTCCAAAAATACTGAAATCAATAGTCCTCAAGGCAATTAAACAAAACGCGGCAGGACCAGACGATGTATAATATACAGAGATAATAAAGCTGCTGAATGTCAAGAACGTTGACTCTCTGGTGGGGAAACGAGCGCGATACCATAAAGAATCTATACATACAGGAATACTACACATAAATTCCCGATAGAAAGAGGAGCAAGACAGGGTTGCATTATGTCTCTTCAAACTATACTCTTAATCCATTTATGAATATGCATAGAAGAATGCAGAGGACGATGTCAAGATTAATAGGCAGGTTGTGAACAATATAAGTTACACTGATAACACAGATAGAATAGCTATTCTATCAACAAGGCGATGTCTCGGCCTGAAGATTAACATAATTACACAAAAGGAGAGTAATGATAATTATCAGAACACCAAATGTGCACTTGAATATCACAGTGAATGGCGGAAAAATCCAGCAAGTCGCAAAGTTTAGATACCTGGGAAGCTGGATGACTGAAGATCTAGATCCAGACGTAGAAATACGAGACACAATTGAGCAAACCAGGGCAACATTTATGAGTATGAGCATGAAAAATTGAACCGACTTGAGAAGTGAGTATTCAGAAGAATGCCCAAAATTCCGTGGACGGTTCAGGTGTCAAACGGAGAAGTTCTGAATAGAATGGAAAGAGAAAGAAAGTTGTTACAGATAGTGAAAAGAAGGAAAACTGCAGAACAGGGTCATATCTTCAGATATTGCAAGTATCAATTCCTAAAGCTGATGATGGAAGGAAAGATCGAGGGAAAGAGAAACATCGGGAGGAAGATATATTCGTGGCCAAAGAACATAAGAGACTGAACAAACCTCGACGCACATGCACTTTTCAGATGCTCGCAAAATCGAAACGATTATGCCAGAATTGCCGCCAACATTCCTCAATGGATAAGGCAACCTAAGAAGATTAAGGAGAAGCACGAGAATGATACAGGATGCTGGAAAAAAAAAACTATGCTCGTTGAAATGAAACTGTGCTCGTCATGTACCTAAGAATGATGAACAATGGAGCCCATAAAGTGACTAATAATTGTGGTCCGAGGGGTCTTCCCAAATCAAAGGTCATATAGAACATACATCTGGCATAAGTAAATCGGTTCGCGCAGAATAGAATGTTGGAAGTCCATGAGGAACGTACAGAGTAGAAAACGGCTTTGGATAATGATGAGACAGGAATTGGGGCTAAGAAAAAATCATATCAATGAAACTGTTTGGCCAAACCTAGTAAAAAATAGCTTCAAAAAAGGGCTGTAATTGGTGTATTGGGCTTAGGTGTTTGATCCTATCTTTGGGCTACAAATCTTTAAAATCTTCAAAACCTGTCTGGATCACTTGAATGCAATAGTCTAAATTAATCTATCGATACCAGGCACTGCATTATACTAGTCTCAGCAAATCATCCTTTCAAAATTTAATCCATAATTGAATCAGCTTTATGACATTTGGGTTTTTAGGTACTGATGGTTTAGGCTTGAAGATCCATAATCAGGGGCGCCGACTACGTGGGTGCTCGGAAGCTCGAGCACCCACGAGACCTAAACAGTGGGTGCGAAGCACCCACGAGCATAGACTTAAAAACTGATAATCCTCTCTAGTTCCTGGAAAACTGGTTAATTTTGTACCTCGGGTTCCTGAAATCTGGTTAACCAAATGTCAAAATAGTTACCGGCCATCGCATGTCGGTTCTGTTGGTTTTATCAAGGTTTTATTTGTAACTTCTGTCAATTATGTAACCGGAATTTTCAGTAAACATCTTATGACCTCCTCGGTTACTTTAGCTCCGTTCCAGCAGACATGAAAACCTTTCTAGAACGGTAATTTCCAGTCGATCAATCCATTTGTCAATTAGGAAAAACGTTCAACTTATTGATTGATTGATTGAACTGGAAATTATTGGTTCTGGAACGGTTCTCATGTCTGTTGGAGCAGAGCTAATGGTTAACGTTTGGTTATATTTGGACCATAGCCTTATATAGCTTTTGTTCCGATATTAACTCTGTCAGTACTGAATTTACTGGACGCCGTTCCGATATTATTTCCAGTAGGTACACTGAATTCAGTCGATTCAGTACTGAATGACCACAAGAGTACCCTGTTGAAATTGGAACGGCAAATGACAGTAAAATCAGCACAATCAATCCAGTACTGGCAGTTGATATCAGAACATGGTGGTACTTTGTTTAGAAGAAGAAAAATATTTAAAAAATCTGAAATCTTTTATGAAAATCAGCGTAAAACGCAGATTTTCGGTACATGCTGCTTTGGTGAAAGAATATCTGCAGGAGAGTTTTCCACACTTTACAGTAGAGTGTTTTCACAGCTATCAGACCAATACCCACCTCTACCACGTAAAAACTCCCCTCCAGCACAGCCATCATACCACTAAAGTTCGCCGCGAAAGAATGCGGATAAAAAATTGCAATATTGCCTATTTGACTTCCAATAAGAAATACCTTGATATTTATTTATATTATACACCTACATTTGTAAGGAAAAAATAATATTCAAAAACGTTGCACGCTTGTCTATGACAGGCAGCATAAAGCTCGAAATGAATGGCGTTATGTCCCCTTGCTCCTCAGACGTCGTAGTGCTAGACTCGTAAGGCGGACTTTACCCACCTCCACTGTACCCTTTTCCGTGAAGCTCCTACCCTGAGAAGGCACTTTTTACCCACCTGCACTATAAACCCTCTTCCGTAAAGCCCTCCATTAATCTATTTTCAAAAGGCTTCTACCCTGAGATGGCACTTTATTATATCCCTTCACTTTTTTGAAAACTAAAGAATATTTAACCAATTCTTTCATTTGTATTCGAATTCGTCAATTTTGGGGTTGGCCCGGGTCAAATCCCCAAAATTTCAGATCAAAAGCGCCGCCAATCTAGAGATTTTCCCACGGTATCTAAAAACTTCCCAGGCTCAAGTGCCCCCGGCTATCAGACCAATACCCACCTCTACTACGTAAGTGGTCCACCAGATTCACAAGCAAAATGTTATTATTGCAATGGAGTTTAGAACACTATTGACGAATACAAATGCAGGAATTGGTGAAATATTCTTTAGTTTTCAAGAAAGTGAAGGAATATAGAAAGAGGTACCTCTTCAGAGTAGAAGCTTTTTGACGTAGTGGAGGTGGGTATTGCTCTGATAGCTGTGAGGTGGGTATTGGTCATAAACAGGTGCATTAATTTTATTGCAATAATAAATATTTTGCTTGTGAATCTGCTAGTCTGATAACTGGGGGCACTTGAGCCTAGGAAGTTTTTCGATACCGTGGGAAAATCTCTAGATCGGCGGCGCCTTTTGAAAATAGATTAATGGTGGGCTATGATGGCTACGCTGGAGGGGGGCTTTTACGTGGTAGAAGTGGGTAGTGTTCTGATAGCTGTGAAAACACTCTACTCTTTACCCTTATAGCCGTCCGTTTTTTCCAATTTTAGCAGACACCGCAAAAAACTTACGCAAGCACCAAGCAACACTATTTCCCGTAGCTGGAAAACGAATATGGAAAGGTGTGAACTACGTTGTTTGAAATTGTATTACCATTCCCTTCTTAGACACTAAACACAACAACACAAATTAAAGAATGCTGGTAAACGTTTTTGGGCGTGGCTTCTGGAGAATTTTTTTCGCCACCGGCGGGCTGTTCATCCCCCCTCATAAATGCCGGTGCATGAACATCAGCACCCACGAGGTTTTCTGAAACCCGGCGCCCTTGTCCATAATGAGTCATATGAGGTATGCAATATCCGAATCCGAACACTAATTAAGGCAAAAGTCTATAGGTATATTTCCCGAGAGGCGTCACAATCTTAATAATATAGCTACATCAATTTGTTTATATTTTTGGAGTATATAATGATAAAATCACTTTTATTTGTTAATTTTTACGAGTGTAGGAGATTTCATCGTAAAATTGGGTTTGTCCATTAAAATGCTAATCTTTTGTTATTGTTTCAGGATCCTCAAGCCAGTACCGATATTAATGGTAACGACGACGATCCCATGCCCCAGGATAATGGGGATAATAAACACGGGACCCGATGTGCTGGAGAAGTTGCTGCAGTGGCCTATAATAATTTTTGTGGAATTGGGGTAGCCTATAATGCTAGCATAGGAGGTAAGTTACTACAAATTTGATGAATCCTTATTTTCCTGGCTCAAGGTAATTTGACCATGTCCGTGAAACGTGAAACTAGTCTGTAAATTAAATTTATTTTCCAATTTCCTCGAAACTAGTTAATGTGTTTATTTATTTTTCAATATCAATACCTTCCTAGTAGATAAAACATAATATACCCGTATTGTTGGTACGAGAAGGCTATCTAATTTTAAGTGAACAATCACGAAACGAAACGGCTTACGATTTACGGTAAAGCACAACAAACACAAAGAGAGTAAAGTTTTCTAGGAGAAAACGTGCGGATAACGGAGGTTATTTATTTTACGACAAAAGAAAAATGCCCCTATATAGGATAAGGTGAAAAATTTAGATTGAAGTGTTAAATTTAATACACACAGGCTTTATATTGTTTGTTGTTTGGTAGCAAACTTATATAAGATTATTACGAAATCTAGTTAGAAGTTTGATTTGTTCTAGGCGAGGATAAATCCATCATGTCTGAATTTTTCTCTCACCTGGTTTCCTTTACAATTTTCCCCGAGCTTATTAGCTTAGCGTTCGTGTAGTGATTTATTTAATAAAAACTATCTGGCAAAATTAATTCAGTCTTAGGAAAGAAATGTAGCAGTACAAATTTGCATAAAATAATTTTCATTAAAAAAAAACTACAATCTAAGCAACGAAATGAGGGTATTTAATTAGCTAGGCTTCTTTCATTAGCAAGAACAGGGATCCCTCTATTAAAATTTCTTTCACACTGCAAAAAAAGGACGAAGGCAATGTTTAATTCTTGATAACAATGTTAACAAAAGGAAATCGGCTCTTTGTTGTATATCAAAATGAAAAATTATGATATGCTTGAATTTGTAATTTATTGTCTTTTTTTGAGCACCAGGAATTCAAACAACGTAACGTTAGGTATCTGATTCGAAACGCCCCAATGTATTCGTGTACGTTATAGACGTGATAATAACCGCAATATCGTGCTTTAATCTCATATATGCCCTTTGTTGCGTGTAATATCTTTGACCCCGTTAAAAAACCATTACACTGGGAATGGACAGAGGCGTTTATTTATATCACCAATCACCGCTGATTAAGGCTTTTTGTGGGGGACACAACACAAATTTTATCTCTTTGTTAAGCAGAACTGTTTTTTTTTTTTTTTTTTTTGTACTCCGGGAGGTAGCGTTACATTTTTAGTAATTGTTTTGGTTAGAGATATGTTCTTCTAGAAGTATCATCAGGTGAGGATATCATTCTTGTAGTTCAACTGTGTAGTAATGCAAATACCCCAGAAATAAGGCTTTAATCGACAAAATTAAGCATAAGATTGATGGCACACAAATACAGGTAGGCATGGTGCTGAAACATAAAGGTGTATCACCATATTCTCCCCATCAATGACATCTTAACACAGTTAACTTAACTATGTTAATATGTCATTGCACCCCAGGCTTATTTTGAAACATAATCTGTCAAGTACTTTGGATAGTGACGGTTTCTTCTGGGTCGGAATAATATGAATTCATCTCCGGATTTGTCCAAGTGTGGATTTTCTTCCGGATCATCATTGTGTGGATTTTTTTCCGAATCATCATTCTGATTATCAGGTGTTTGTGCATCTTGTTTATAGAAGTTACTTTCTTGAGATTGAAAGGGATTTTCACTGTGATCATCGTCATCAAATTCAGGTGCACTTCCACGTGGTACTAGATGTCTTAGATTGACAGTATCTTCTCTGCCATCGGGAAGACGTACAAACGCATAATCTGGGGCTTGCTTCCACCAAGTACACCTCCATCACAAATGGGTCGTATTTACTTTTCCTAACATTCTTTTTCATCCAAACAGGGCCAGGACTTGAAAGCCAGGAAGGAATAGCTTGTCCGTTGCTAGATTTATGAGAATGTTTAAACATGCGTTCATGTGGTGTTTGATTTGTTGCAACACACAAGAGAGATCGGATAGAATGCAATGCACAGTACCCTCTCCCATTGTTCTATTTTCAGACCACGAGACTTCAGTGCGAGCGAAATTGTTTTCCATATTGAAAAATCAAATCTTTCTCCTTGACCATTGCCTTCCGGAGTATAAGAAGTCGTTCTGCTAGTGGCTATAACTTCTGGATAAAGATATTCCTTCAGTTCTTTTGACAGGAAAGAGCTTCCTCAATGTATGTACGGGGGCATTCCAAATATTGAAAATAGATGTGTGAAACATTTAATCACAGTCATATCAAGGCAGGCGTAAGTAAAAAGGGAATCTTGAGAATTCATCTAGAATTGTTGATAGGTAACGATTTGTTGAGGATGTTGGACCTTTCAAATCAATGTTGTGCTTTTCAAATTGTCTGATTGATCTTATTAGGATTCCTCGATTTTCACTGAACGTCGGCTTGAGCTCTCAACAAATAGTACAGTTCATCTTTCGTACATCGTCTATGAAATAAGGTAAATTTCGAGATCGAATCCACTGAAACATTCTAGTTATTCCAGGATGACAAAGTGTCATCATGTAACTCGAACTATTTATTCTCAGTTGAAGCCCCACATCCGAGAAAAAGTATCGGCTACGATATTCTCATTTCCTGGACGGTAAACTATGTCATATCATATGAATAGCATGAAAATTCGAGTCTCCAAGGTTGAATTTTCCCATTTTTTATTTTACTACTATGCTTCGTGTCGAACATGAATGAGACCGTTCTGTGATCTGTAATCAACTTTCCAATAAGAAAGTGACGCCATTTCTTCAGAGCTTCTACAATTGCTAGTGCTTCTTCTTCAACTGCTGAGTGGTTTTGTTCACTATATGATAGAGTTTTCGAGAAAAACGCAACTGGTCGTCCAGACTGGCTTAAAACTGCTGCTATTGAATGTTCGGAGGCGTCTGTTTCCACCACAAATGGAATGTTTTCTTCAATCGCAGTGACAGCTGATTTTGCTACTTCAGTTTTCAAGTTGTGGAAATCGGTGATAGCAGGCTCTTGCATAGGAAAGTTTCTGGTACTAGCAATTCTATGAATTTTCTTGGAGAATCTAGGTATCCATTTAGAGTAATGAGCGAACATACCCACAGCTCTTTGAAGTGAAGCTTTATCAGTTGGTACTGGCAGATTCTGTAGAGGTTCAAGGTTCAAGTGCTCTGTTTACTATAAGATATCCCAGTAGTTCAATTGTCTTTTTGTTCAACGAAGTTTTAATTTTATTTATAGTTGAGTTGTAATTTTTAGCATCTGTCAGAAAAGCTGATAGATTCTTATCGTGTTCTTCTTGATTTTTCCACAAATTGTTATATCATCGAGACATACGTAGACGCTTTTTAGATTCTCTTGCCTGATTATCGTATCTAAGATTCTCTGAAAACAAACTATGCCGTTAGTCACACCAAAAGGGATACGATTAAACTGGTACAGGTTTCCATCAGCTTCAAAAGCAGTGAACTGTTTTTCATCATTTCTTATAGGGAACTGGTGATACGTACTTTCTAAGTCAATAGTGCTAAAAACCTCAAACTTTGAGACTGCTCTTACCAACCCCCGGTAAAGGATAATCGTCAAGATAAGTAAACTGATTGTTTGAGAATAGTCAACAACCATTCTATTTTTATGATTTTCGTTCTTTGTCACAAGAACTTGTGCTCGCCAGGTAGGGGTACTTTCTTCAATGATACCTACTGAAGCTTTTGTACTTTACTTGAAATAAATTTGGCATCATCATGTGAAAATTTTCTCGGTTTTGTAGCGATTGGTTTAAATTGCGATGATGAATTAGCAGTGTTGCCACAGGCTCTGAAAATTACGTACCAGACTATATTTTTAAAAGGGGCCAGATTTCAGAATTTAGGGCATACCGTTTTCAAATTGAAAGGAAGAGAGAAAGCCCGCCGCAGGCGTCGACTGAGGCAGAAAACTTTCTCGGGTGCCACGCCCAAAAACGTTTATTTTACATCAAAAAATCATGATTTGGCTTGCTATAAAGAAACGGGCCAGATTCGAAAAAGAGTGGCCAACGGGCCACTCCGTCTTAGAAAGGGCCTGATCTGGCCATATGGGGCCACCTGTGGCAACACTGTGAATTAGCGAATAATTGCAGGAGCTAGAGAACAGTGCTTTGTTTCAAATACAGTCATGGCAGATTTTCGTCCTCCAAAATAAACGGTCAACATTTTATGTTGCGTAAAAGTGTCATGACCAACGATAATATCAGCACAGAGGTCTGGTAGAACCGAAACTTTTACGTTTGCATACTGATGATCAAGAATGTTGAGGTTAACAGCACAGAATCTTTTGCTTTGTGCACGCAGAGAAGTTTGAGCCATAGACACGTAGCCTTTACTTGGTTGAATCGGAATATTATTTGACAAAACAAATGACTCATTCAAGTAAGTCTCAGAGCTGCCAGTATAACTGATTGATTTTTACTGGCACTGCAGTTCTTGATAAACTTCCAGGAACAGAAGCCAATGTTTGAGACAGAATAGATGCAGTTGTGCCATGATTACAACTTCGACAAATAGTAGAGAAATTACCTTTTTCACTGCATTGTTTGCATGTAGCATGCAGGGCAGGACAAAAAGAGCGATAATGTCTTCTAATTCCACAATAATAGCATGTAGAAAATTTCTCGGTAGCACTCAAAGTAGTGTATCTCTATTGCTGTTTTTAAAGATTTTCCGCGTTACTAAAATTGATGAAACTTGTTGAAGCTGTTTGGTATACCTCAGAATGTTAAGCCGCTAATGAATGCATCTCTAATGGAAATTTCGCGATGTTCTTTGGCATTTATGTTTTTGAAGTTACAATCTTTGCTGAGCTGATTCAAAATTTGAATGTACTGGCTCATGTTTTCTTCATGTTACTGTTTCCTCGTAGAAAGAATATGTCTTGCAAATGCTTCATTTTGTGGTTTTATATCGACGTTATCTGAGATACTCACAGCATTAGCGTAGGTTTTTGCTTCAGAAACGTATCCGAACACGTTGTGACTTACATA